GAAGATTCTTTGATGATGCAATTTAATTGCTGGTAATCGTGTCGATACTTCAGTCTAAAAATTTTAAATAAATGCAACAAAGAATTTTCTGTAATAGGTATAATTTTTTAAAAAGAAAAAACAAAGAAAACGGTCATTCATAATATTACCATTTATTTCTATTAGGTACCTACATAAGAAATTTATTTTCGTTTAACCGCAGGTCTGAAGCATATGCTTTGGAATGCAAATTATTTCTCAAAAATAACCTTTTGAATTTACAACTGCAGGTAGGTACAATATACTTTTTACGTCTGATTTAAACAAATGAGAAATTGCTGTCTGGTGACGTAAAATATCAATAGATCAAGTCGCTTAAACGTTAATTTTGTACAAAATTTCCGTAGCTACCTACCACAATCTAGTTTTTTATACAATTACCCATTTAATCGAAAATATGATACTTAGGTAATAAATGATTAAGGTCAACCTAATTATTTTACATTAATGAATAAATTAAAAAAGATAGAGAACCAAATGACTTGCTATAAAGTAATACAAAAGTACTTTTTTTCGAGAAAAATAATTCCTCTAAGTCTATTACAATAAATCAAGAAGTATACATATATTTATTAATATATTACAACCAAATAAATGTAATAAAACTAATTAATTAATTTGAAGACTCATTATCAATTTTATTTCCAAGAGAAAGAAATTGGATGATACCTATTTCACTTTTGAGTAGCAAAAGGAAATTCATTCGAATGTATCAATAAGTTTCTGAACTTATTGAAATTACAAAAACCCTTATTTATTTAGTATCTAGTAATGAGGCAACTTACACAAATGTATATACAAATTATCTGTAAAATCGTATGAAGTTACTCATAATATCCTCTAATTTTTAACAACGGTGAAGATGTGGTTGCATAAGCATTCATAAATTTCATTAGACATAAACATCAATTTTATGAAATAAGATAATTATAACAAAAGGAATGACAGTTCCATATCTTTCTGTTATATTTTGTAATTCTAGTGAAACATTTGTAAATAATAATGTAATTACAGCTGGAAATTAATGCATTAATTGAAAAAGTGGAAAACATTTTAATGTAAACATTGCGGTAATAAGTGCACCTATTTTTAAATTACGTTGTGATGTTTGAATCGAAATTTTTAGTGAAATTCTAAAATATGATGCTCGTGCATATTGTATAAAAACTGGAGTGGGTATTAAACGAAAACAAAATATTATAAGTATCAGGACATTAACCTAATAACAATAATCGTTTCTTCAAAATTTTAGTATTTTTAGTTGCTGAAAATCCTAGTCAAACAACAATAAAAAATAATAATGGCAGATAGGTGAGTCTCTCAATATTCCTACAAACAGAATGCTTTAGTTGAATAACCTACATACATTCTAAAGTTAAATTACTAATGTTTTTGTAATAGGAACAATTGGTTTAACTCCTGGTTGCATGCTGCCAAGAATAAGGTAAGCAGAAATAAAAATGAATGTTTTTTAAACTTTATTTTTAACTTTTTAAAGAGCACTGAAGTTCTGGAATTTGTTAAAAAAGATTTGGAAGAATTTGGAAGTGTAGTAAAACAAGAAGCTTCTACTGTAGTCTCGACAACAGGCTCTGCAATCACCAAAACCTTGAAGGTATAAACATTATTTTTTATTACACATTTATGCTAATTATAAAGTAATTGCTTTGACTTCAACTAATAAGTAAAACTGTGACAGTTGTTGAAAATTAAGAACTCAAAATTCCATGTATTATTTATTTATGGTACCAGTTTATGAGTGATATATAAAGTAATAAATATATTTTCATATATTTTCCTATGTTTGTGTGGATGTAACAGTTTGATAATAGTAATTAAAGTACTTACTTAATATCACAAATATAGGTTTTTAAGTGTAACTTTGTATGCAATTAAATGTCATACAGGAGATTTCACTCATATTTTTAGTATGAACAAGTGCTAACAAAATATTAAAATTCTCAATATTTCAAGTCTTTCAGGTAATTAATTGGATTAGTTGCACCGATTTCGAAAAGAATTTGATAATACAATAGGATTCGTTTTTGGTGGTTTAGTACATATATTTTAATATTGATAGAAAAATTCCTCTCTATTTAGTTTTAGTTTTTAATCATTATTTATCAAGAATAAAATGGTAAAACTATTATTTTTGAAAACGTTTCTTATCCTACAACTTATGATATTTAATAATTTTACTCTTATTGTATCTTATTTATTTATAAAGTTAACATGCAGAATGCCCTTTACATAAAGATTTTAAAATAATAGAAATATGGATGTACATACACATTAAAAATTTTTAAAAATGTGTACAGTCAAAGTAAAGAAAAGAAATTGATTTTATATTTTTCAGAATGTTATGATTATAGTAACTTGTATTTATTATTGAGATATGAGTGATATATCCTCGCCTTTAAACTACATGTTGTATAGGACAGCACCTTTTTAGCTTATCTGTTATTTACTTTAAGCCTGTTTATCTTTTATAAAGTTTATTGATGTATATAATTTTCAATTTTATTAAAAAGATATTCCAACTAGTTATACAATAGAAATGTCTCGGATTAAAAACTATAAATATAAAGTAGACGCTCGATAATGTGAACCGAAAAAAGTAACTGTTCAAATTATCGATTTGTTCGCCTTAATGTATGTTAAAACATCTAAAATTAACAGAAAACGAATTCTAAATTGTTTTTCACTTAAGTATGTGGGAATGAATTAATTTTGCTTTTTACTCGATTGTTTCGCCAATCAGGATGAAATTTTTATTTTGTTGATCAAGAAACTACTTATTTAATTCTTATCTTTTTTGGAAAACTTCAAACTTGTTATATCAATGGCTTAATAGCAGTGGCAAAATATGAATTTTTAAAGTTAATTAATATTCGTTTCTATAATTTTTTCACGATATATGGTGGCTTAGAACAATTGATTATGTGTAGTTATGTAATGTTTCGATCATCGAGGGTCTATTCTTTAAAGACCCCTTCTATACCGTTCGATATACTAAATTATTTTTATTATCTCTTTAGAAGTATTGTATTTAACAATTTTTTTTGTATTTACAGCTGGATGAATCAGACTCAACAGCTGGTTCTATGAAAAGGAGCATCAGCTCATTTTTAGGTTTTTCTCTAATTGTCAATATAAATTATGTAATTTTAACTGATTTGTGAATGTTTTTAAAGGTCAAATGAACACAATATTAAACCCAAGCCCGGATGATTCTGATACAGAGGCTATCATAATAAATGAAGATTCTGACCCTGTTACTCTTACAAAACTTCAAGTAAAAATTTCAGTTTAAATAAAATAAATAAAGTTAATAAAATCATACTAATTTTAGCAAGAAATATATAATCTCCAAAAAAATGAAACTACTTTTCTTGATGATCCTGAAGATTCTTTGATGATGCAATTTAATTGCTGGTTAGAAATTATTGAAGACCAATTATCCGAAGAACGTCTAAATAGACACTTGAATAGTTCACTAACGTTAAAAAATCAGTATGAGAAATTAGTCCCTGAAAAGGTGTCCCATATACTGTTTTGGAAAAGGTAAAAATAATTTTTATGTTACATTCTCAATTGTAAATGTATGATAAATTTGCCCAAGATTAATTTGAATTATTTAATCAATAAAAGTATTTAACTTTAACTCTAAAGCATGAAAAATTACAGAACAATGAAAAATATTAATAAGTTGTAAAAAACATTTATGGTATGGTTTGTTGTGTTTACAGTTGTATTTTGTGTCGTAAACATTAGACATTAAATCGCATGTAGTACCTACTTAATGATCGGCTACGTAATTTTGAAAAAGGACATATTTTATTGAATAACTATTACATGTTTGGTGCTAATATTGCGTGTACATATTGGTTTTAATAAGAGTAACTTATCAAAATATGAACCATTACTTAGCATAATGATCTTTTGACCAATCTATTTACAGATATCTATTCAAAAAAGCAGTGATAGAAGATGAAATGGCTAGAAAGGAAGCAATGGAAAAACGGGAACAGAAAGAGAGCATGACAACTACTGAAAATATAAAATGGGAACATGGTACAGAAATCTCTTATCTAATCTCACTGAATAATTCAAATACAAAATATGTTCTTGGTACATAAAACAATAAATATCTGGTAAATGTTTTTTAGAAGACTTTGCAACTGATATAGAACTTTCAGAAGAAGAGCAAATTCGACTATTGGAGCAGTATGAAGCAGAAACGAAACAAAAAAAAAATGGATCAATTTCTCCTAATAAGGCCAATGAAACTAAAGTAGAAAAATTACAAGGGAAAGAGGATCATTTCAAACTGGATACCCCATTAAAATGGATGCCAAAAAGCGATGGGAAAAATATTAAAAAAACAGATTCCAATTGTAGTCTCGATCTTGAATTAAAAAGTACCAATAGCAGTTCAGATGGAGACTGGGAAAAAATTAATAGTGATGAAAACTAATTTCTGAAGCAGATGAAAATCTAGAATTATGGGTAATGAGAAAAACTAAACTTTTATTAATTAAAATTATGGATGATGCTTTTGCAAAGTGCATAGTTTAATAAGGGTATTATTTACATTATATGTTCACATGATTTTTTTTTTCTAATTGATGCTGAAAAGTTAAAAAAAAATTGAAATCACTGGGTTTAATGTGTCGTTCTACGCATTTATTATTCGTATCTTTTGTCTCCAATATAACAGATAGATATTGGAAAGGCACATACACTGTAAAATCTTATAAGAAGTTTGTAAATTTAATATATGTAATAAGACTTTTAAATATAGAGTTTTACAGCGATTGTGAAAGTAAAATTTTATATAAAATTTATTACTAATCATTAGTATTCGTATAAGTTTTATATTGAAAAATAATTGGAAGGCATATTGAAGTACTTGCAAAATAATCTTTTTCATTTTCATCATTTGACAAGAATTTAATGCACTGTTACATATTATCTAAATTTTAATTATTTTTTAACAAAAAAATTAAAAGGTCAAAATGAATGTGAAAATGGTTCCTATAACAATGAGTTATGTTTTTTAAAACTTTCTTAATGACTTTTTTGTTGCTCTTATACTTACCTTAGTAATTTATAACATTTAGGATAGCTTGTATAGTTTAAACACAATTATTTTGTTGATTTAACGTTACCAAAAATAGTAGTTTGGCTATCAAAGGAATTGTAGATCCTAAACGTTATAAATTATTAGAATAAGTAAATATAAGAAACAATAAAAAAAGTTTAGTAAGCTTATTAATGTCACAGTTGTGGGGTCATTTTCATACTCAAGTATTTATTAATAGATATAGAAATTTAACTTTTCATTTTATTTTTAAAATAAGTCTCAGTTGATTTTGTACTATCTGAATAGTACTTTTTTACAATTATTGTTGATTATTTAAAAAAATCAATTCTACAATTACAAAATGACAAAGAGGAGGTCAACTGAATCTCGAAAATATCAATTTGCAACTTTTACACTTTAATTATGCCAATTTTAAAATGTAGTTTTCAAAATTATCTGGTAACGATTCCTAGTTTTTTGTATTTAAAATGTGCCAAAAAGTGTAAATTCGATAACATTTAAAATATATTTGTAGGCGACTTTTTAACACGAGAAAAGAAAAGCCAAACAATTTTACTTTAGGTGCTTCTATAATTTGTGGTTTCATATTTTTTAATAAGTATATTTTAGTTTTTGTTTTTAATTGTTTGATACCTACTTAACAGCAAAAAGAATTTAAACATATATTGCAGTCAGGGAAAAAAGGCAAGTTTTTCATGCTATTGTAAAATTTTATGTATATATGTATGTAAAAATGTTTTAACATTTTATACATAATTCACATATACTTTATAATTTTTATTATATTCAAATTATGCTTCGTTATTTGTTTAACTAGTCTTATGGAGTACTTTAATCTGCTGTGTTACTTTATTACAGGATATCTCTTTAAAATACAATACTGTTAATGTTTGTGTTTATTTCATTTGCCTGCCTGTTTAAACCTTCAAAATTACGACAACGTAAATACATTTAATAATATATATTTTTGCAGTAACACTTAAATTATCATACAACAAATAATTAGTTGATGTGCATATGTACAATGTATTTAATATAACTATTTTGTATATCTACTACTTAACAAAACAGGAATGCAATAATTAAGAAACTTAATTCTAAAATAGTGGCCTGTAAATTTAGTCCTATTAAATGGTCTCTCTACAATTATTCTGAAAATAAAAATACTTTTTGTGACAAAAGGAATTCATACTCGAAGAGAAGAACGATTATTGGCCCAAAACTGATGTGCAGAAAAAGCTAATGTAACCAAATACAAACAGGCGGCTATCCAACAGTTCTGAGCATTCTGAAACAGATAAGTATTAAAAGATATTTTTAAAACAAAGGTCTAATGACCACAGCAGAATACCAACCTGTGTATAACCTTTTTCTACTTCAGAATAAAACTCTTCTAGATTTGTTACTTCAGCTTCATGATCACCGGGTAAGTCTTCAGCAAAAGCAACCGCGTGGAAGTGATAGAGTACGCCCATAATACCCTATAATGATAAAAAAATAGATTTATTAAGCAAATAACAAAGTTACAGCAAACCAACCAATTGAACGATTCCCCAAATACTCAAAAGGATTCCACAAAGTGATAATTTAGGACCACAAACAGGCATTTTTACAATTATTTTATACAAAAATCAATTCTGCACACACTTGTAACAAAATTATAAATTAAATGTACGACTTCCTAATCATATGATGGCATGTGATTGTAAATGTCACTTTTAACTAGGTTTTGACGTTTGATGCCATAGATATTTGATGCTAATTGTAGGGTCCCATAAACGAAATGCTTTACTTATACGTTTTTTCAATGTAGATTCTCGCCAAAATATTTCTACAATCAGTTAAATGTGATATACAATATAAAAACTAATTTTCTGTTTAATACATGTTAAAACTGATTAAATGTATTCTTTAAATTACTTTAAAAGCGGAAAAAATTTAAAACAGAATTTTTAGCGGCATTTCTGAGCTTCATACATACTGAATAGCGTAGTTATGGAAATTATCATTGCTGCCACTACTGACTACAATAGTTTACTAATAAAATTACATGACGTACATACATGTAATTATACTTGTCAAGTGGGTGACATTACATCAAAGAAAAAATCATATAACAAGTTAAATTAAATTATCTAGATAAACATTTAGTAAATAAACATTAATAGCTATATGTATTTTAAGATATAAATTTCGAGGATGGTGGATAGACTAGGTACAGTTATTTTTATTTTGTAATTGTTTAGTGAAGGATATATTTCTGTGAGAATCAGGTTATGAAAACGGTTCCTCTTTTTACGGTTGTGTAAATTTTTCGGTCTGTTTCTTATTCTACAATTTTTAAAATAACAGATATATCACAGTTAACATATTTGAACTAATAATAAATAAATGTGAATATTCAAAAGTAAGGCAACATATATTTTGACCAATTTATAATGCATCATTATGTCCATCATTAAACTCTTCTGTTTTAGTGAACAGCGAAGCAAATGCTCGCAGAATTGCAATGGTTGAAAGCTGTTTTGGCAGTTCAGGCCAGGTGAGTTGTGCTTCTAATATTTCTTAATTCTTAAATAACAAAAATATTTTTTATCTTAAGCCCTTGGCTGTTCCTGGTAGAGTACTTGTGGGTGAAGGAGTTTTAACAAAGATGTGCAGGAAAAAGCCAAAAGCTCGGCAATTTTTTTTATTCAATGATATATTTGTTTATGGAAATATAGTTATAAACAAAAAAAAATACAATAAACAACATATCATTCCACTAGAAGAAGTTAAGCTTGAAGGCATAGAAGATGATGGCCGTAAGTGTCACAAAAGAAATCATTTCTTATAAGCATTTTATTAATTATGATTGAAATACGAATTATAAATTGATATATAATTATATATTGTTACTAGAATTTAAAAATGGATGGTTTATAAGAACAGCTTCAAAATCTTTCGCTGTCTATGCTGCAACAAGTACAGAAAAACAAGAGTGGATGGCCCACATAAATAAATGTATTGAAGATTTATTGAGAAAAAGTATGTACATCTTGATATGTTTTTGTTGCTTCTTAAGAAGTTGATCATTCGTTTAAGGTGGCAAAAAAGCAGTAGAAGAACATGCAGCAGTTTGGGTCCCAGATGGGGAAGCAAGTGTTTGTATGCATTGCAAAAAGAGTCAGTTTACTCTAATTAACAGAAGAGTAAGTTATTATAAATAATATTTTTTAATTAATTGTAAAAGTAATTTACGGATACATCAGATTATTAATTTGAGAAAAGCAATTGGTTATTTACCATCTAAATTTAAATGCAGTGTTTACTTTTTTAAATTCTGGAATATAATTTTTTTCATTTAGAAGATAAGCAGTAACTTTTTTAAAAAGGTATTATTGAAATTATTTGTGCATTTCTTCTCATAAAAATGATTTATAAATATCAAGTTNCACATGTTAATACTTAAAAAAAGTAATTTGTTATTTAATTAATGTTAACATGCAAGGTCTATAATTTTGGATTTTCAGTTTTAACTTTTACAATCTGAAATATTAAAAAAAGGTTTTTGTTGAATTTTATTGAAGTCTCTTTATTTTCTTAGCATAGGGCAGTAAAGATTGACTGATAATTTATTTAAAAAAATGTTACTCACATACTACGATTATGATTCACTCCAACATGATAAGTGAGTCATGTTTACATGATATATATTATCATTCATGATTATTAACGAGTAAACAAAACGTACTGGATTTAAATGATTGAATTATGAGAAGCTATAATTCTAGTAAAAATAGGTAATCTATCCCTACAGTCCAACGTATTATTTATTTACACCAAAAATACTACAACAATAGTTTACATTTTAGAAAAAGATTTTATTAACTCCTTCTAATCATAAAGTATTGAATTAAAACGCTAAGAAGCGTGTCAGTAAATTTTTAACAAAATATCGTTTTTTAGCACCACTGCCGTAAATGTGGGGCTGTGGTTTGTGGACCATGTTCGAACAAGCGCTACTTACTACCGAATCAAAGCTCAAAACCATTACGTGTTTGCTTACACTGTTATGATTTATTGAGTACAGCAAAGAACTCAAATTCAAACGATAAAGATAAGCCGGTTGGGGGCAACGCCGATACTTCAGGGGAGGAAGATTCAGACGATGACGAAGAAGAAAAAGGCAAGGGACAACCAGATACTCACGATACGGTAAGGATAAGATTTAATTTACTAAATTTGAGCGGTGTTATATACAGTATTTTAAACAATTTGAATATTAAAATAAAAATAACTTACACCTACTTACATGAGAAAGTTAGACTTTTGACGTCTTTGGAAATATTAAATAGATATACAATAGGTTTTTTCTTTTCCTATATATATTAAATCCCACCAAAAACTATGTTAAGTTGGATTGTATGAGGAATGCAACTTCTCCCTCTTTGCAATTGTTTTTTCATTCTCACTTTAGTTCTTTGATTTACATTTTTCTTCAAAATCTCTACTCTTTTATGACTAAAAAACATACTTAAACCATTTTAATGTTGTCTTATATTTGAATATTATAATGAAAGCCTTTTGAAATTGAACTGAATCCCCTTTTTTTATAATTTAATTCTCGTATTATCATGTGTGTAGAAAAAGTGAAGTTGCTGCCCTGACATTAAAAAACCTTACCTTTGCAAATAATTTTGGATTTTATTTGTGTATTAAGAGTTTATAAGCAGGATCTTTTTGTGTTTTTGTAGGTATTCTTTTATCAAACCCTTATTACGTATAAATACAAAAATCGAACTTGGATATGAGTTATTTTATGATTTTAGGTACGCATAATAATCTAAGTTTTTAAAACGTGTCTAACACCGCACAACACTTATTCCATTGCAATTATTTTGTTCATATTATTGAAAGGACGAGCAAAAAGTGAATCAAAATTAACCTTTTTTTAAAAAATATAAAAGTCAAAATAATATAGCAAACAGCTATAAATCTGTTAAAAAAGTTTTTATTTAACTAATTTTCCTATTATAATTCTTCAGTTTCTCAGCCACTGTTTTGGCTACTCTTGCTAATAAGATGTAAGTGTTTTTTGTTTGAATGAGGATTAATGAAACCGATTTTTCTTTTTGCTGGAATGATTTTTCACTAGATACCTAAAACTAACTCATATTGGTAAGGTTGATACTATTGAGCTCAAACAACTTGTATCAAAAACATATTTTGCTGTAACATTAAATTATCATTCCCAACGTTTTTGTTTAATATTGAGGATTAGTTAAAGGTATGAAAATAATCTTCATAATGGTTAGTTTAATAAGTTTTCTTATTTTTTTTTTTGAGAAGAAGTTAAGCTTGAAGGCATAGAAGATGATGGCCGTAAGTGTCACAAAAGAAATCATTTCTTATAAGCATTTTATTAATTATGATTGAAATACGAATTATAAATTGATATATAATTATATATTGTTACTAGAATTTAAAAATGGATGGTTTATAAGAACAGCTTCAAAATCTTTCGCTGTCTATGCTGCAACAAGTACAGAAAAACAAGAGTGGATGGCCCACATAAATAAATGTATTGAAGATTTATTGAGAAAAAGTATGTACATCTTGATATGTTTTTGTTGCTTCTTAAGAAGTTGATCATTCGTTTAAGGTGGCAAAAAAGCAGTAGAAGAACATGCAGCAGTTTGGGTCCCAGATGGGGAAGCAAGTGTTTGTATGCATTGCAAAAAGAGTCAGTTTACTCTAATTAACAGAAGAGTAAGTTATTATAAATAATATTTTTTAATTAATTGTAAAAGTAATTTACGGATACATCAGATTATTAATTTGAGAAAAGCAATTGGTTATTTACCATCTAAATTTAAATGCAGTGTTTACTTTTTTAAATTCTGGAATATAATTTTTTTCATTTAGAAGATAAGCAGTAACTTTTTTAAAAAGGTATTATTGAAATTATTTGTGCATTTCTTCTCATAAAAATGATTTATAAATATCAAGTTTTGTTTAAGAAAGAAAAAGTAA